ATGAAAGACTGGACTAGGAAATTCTAAAAATCGACATAAAGCATAAAAAGCCACTCTGAGGTTGATGAAATTTATAATGTTTTGTCTTCTTTTAATTCATTCATACTTTTCTCTCAGGATACAAAGGGCAAAACTAGTCTGTGTAGTACCTCAGAATTGAGTAGTTACACACTCATTAGGTTTCAGAATCATTAAAATTTTATCTTATTTAGGATACTGCTTACCTTGGAAGGGCAAATTGCCATTTCTCTCCATCTGGGCATCAGGGAAACAAAGGAAATCCCCCTAAACATCACTTCCACACCCCTATATTATGCTAAGGAACTTCCAGTTGATTCATTAGGCATTTCAGCAGTGTTTTTGGCCGGTACTAGGAACTGTGGAGAGGTATAGAAAGGGAGCAAGTGCACAGTCCCGGCCCCCAGAGAGGTTACGATGCAAATAGAAGCAGGCTCAGAACTCGGAACAAAAGCAGTGACTGCATAATAATGCACTGCTGGGGGTGGGGGATGGGGATCTGCACGCCCGGCTGTGACTTCAGGAAAGCAGTTTCCAGGAGGTGAGAGTTTAAGCCAGACCTGAAAGAAGTTGATTTGTAATGATTTGCAGGGGGCCTCTGGAGGCAGCGGCCAGGACTTTTCACTTAGGAGATCAGCATCTGCCCTGATGGAAAGTGGGCAATCCTACAGGGACTGACCGTTGAGTTGTCCAAAGGCTGACTTGGAGAAAGACTGATTTTGAGGTTTTAACAGGTAAGTTTGGGGACATCACTGATGAAGGTGGGCAGGGAAGGAGGATTTTTTCTTTTTTCTTTTTTTTAATGTTACAGTAAAAAGCTTAGATTCGATGACATGGGTAAAAAACAAATAGGAAAATGTAAGGAGAAGAATGATTATGATTGCTATGTAAAAATGAAATTGCAATAGAGAGGATCTGGAGCTCAGGAAAGGAGCTAGAGCATGGTATAACTTAGGCCTAGGTAGTGAAGATCATGAATAAAATGGTAGCTGAGGAAATTTCAAAGTTGAAAAAGTAGTAATAAGTATGAAGAAAAAGCTAAACTACAAACATCTGCTCTTTAATTACTAACACTAGTAATGAGAATTTCTTGTCTCCAGCCTCTTCCCTTCCCACTCCTCACCTCTTCCTAGCTTACATCATTGTATTAAGGCATTTTATTGAAGATACTATTCAGCACTCTCCACCTATGCTTTACACAGCTTGCCTCTGCTTTTCTTCCCATTCCACTCTTTCTCTTCATTTATTCACATCATTTTAGTCCTTAAAAGACCCTGCCCAATTACTAGACCAGAGGGAGGCAACTAAGACTCTTCATATCTCCCAAACGACCTTCCAGAATGGTTTTATGGCATTATAATAGGAACGAAAGAGTTTTGATTTTTCTATTATTAATATTTTGCATTCAAGGAATTACAGGAAAAACCATATTGCATGCCAGAAATACTTAAATTTTAAATATTTCATCTTAAGAGATGCCCTTATGTAATGCTTTTAATGCATTTGAGAAATTCAGGTAGTGGGCAAAAGTACAAGATAGAGGTTAGATGTTTTGAGTGGGAGAAGTGCACTGGGGTCATTATTGAATCAGAATTATTATGCACTTAAATATATAGAAAAAAGAACGAAATGAGTATTAAACTACGCAAATTCATCCCTTTAATCTTTATTTGCATGACTACATTTTATGCAGTTGTAACCTTCATGTACATATTTGGTATTTTTCAAACACGAATTGATTAGACATTGTTGCTATTTTGTCATCTATATTGTTAACATAAGAACTTCCTGTGTTACTATATCAGATGTTTTTTTTTTGTTTTTTGTTTTTGTTTTTTCTTTTTTTTGAGACAGAGTTTCGCTTTTGTTGCCCAGGCTTGAGTGCAATGGCGGATCTCGGCTCACCACAAACTCCGCCTCCTGGGTTCAAGCGATTCTCCTGCCTCAGCCTACCGAGTAGCTGGGATTACATGCGCCCGCCACCACGCCCAGATAATTTTTGTAGTTTTAGTAGAGACAGGGTTTCACTATGTTGGCCAGGCTGGTCTCGAACTCCAGACCTCAGGTGATTCACCCGCCTCAGCCTCCCAAAGTGCTCGGATTACAGGCGTGAGCCACTGCGCCTGGCCTCTATGTCGGATCTTAATTAGCCATTTCCTGTTAGAATCCTGCCCCGCTCCTTCTCGCCTTTTCCAGTGTTTGGATAATATGCTGTGAATATCTTTGTGCACTCATTTCTTTATTCAGGTCACACCACTGAAACATACTCTCCAGAATAAAATTGATGATGAAAAGATAGGAACAATTTTATAGCTTGTCTTACATATTGCAAGATTTTGCACTGCACTGATGTATTGTTAACTCTGCATGTTTGTCTTCTTTATAAGCTCTCCTTGAAGAGTTTTTAAATTTTCAGTATACTCCACAGGGTGGCCAAAGTAGAACTGGCTCGTCATTGAGTATAGGTTCAGTTAAAAACAAAAATCTGGCTCAGAGCTGAGCACAAAGAATCCAATAAATATAAATGGGTTAATTTTCAGGTACCTTAGCCTTGACTAGTTCCTGTTTTCCAGATGTCCCCTCCTTTTCCTTTTCGATATCTACTTCATTATTTAAACGGGCAATTTCGGCTTAGGCAGTTCTGGATAGCGGTGCCCCTCCTGTATCCATTCTGGAACCTCTCTCGCCCTTCTGCTGTGCGAGGAAACCCAATTCACAGCCGTCATCCCCACTGAAGTTACACCCAGGGGTCGCTTCAAGAGGGAAACGTTTTCTGTAAGAATTTCTATGCCAGTAAATTGGGGAAGGTTTTAAAGATAACGGAATTTGCCACGCGTTTCTGCCAAACAATTCGACGTTGTGTAAATCGCAGAAATTCCGGCAAGGACTAACGACGTCCGTGGATGATTCTGCGGCTCACAGGCACACAGGACACTCAGGGTTTACCCTCCCGGGTTCCGACGGCACGACAGGTGCGAAGCCCGCCCGGAGAGGCAGTGCTTGTTGTCGGCGCAGACCCACGTGCGGCGCTGGGGACCGTCTGTGGCCCCGATCCCCCCACGAGGCGCGGAAGGCGGCCGCCGGCAGGTTCTCGGTGCCCGCGCAGAGCCGGCCCGGGGGCGGGGCTGTGGGAGGGGCGGGGCCTGCCGCGCGTCACTGCTGTCGTAGCCGCCGGGCCGGGTCGCCGCGGCCGCCGAACCGGGGGGCTGGGGGGCCGGGGTGAGCGCTAAGATGGCCGCCCCGGGTCGGGCTGGTGAGTGTGAGCGAGGGCGCGGGCCGCGGCGACTGGCGGAGTGAGGACCCCTGCGGGAGCGGACGTGCGACGGCAGCCCCCGGGCCGGGAGGCACCTGGGGGAGTATTCCCGCCGCGCAAGGCGCTGGGCGTCCTGAGGGAGGGAGAGACGGGGGCTGCGGGCGCGCGGAGGGGAGCGAGCCGAGGGGCGCGCGGCGGCGACGGGTCCGGCGAATTTTGAAGTGGCCCCCTGGGAAGTTTCGGTGGGTTCTGCGGTGCTCGGCCCCGTCCCGGCGGCCGCCTCACGAGTGCCCGGAGATGCGGCGGCCAGGGGCAGCGGGCTGGAGCGGGCGAGCTGGGGGAGAACCGGCGCGGGCGAGGGCTTCGAGGACGCGGAGGGGCTTCGCGCTGACCCCGGCACGAGCGTCGCGGAGAGGCTGGCGCGGGCTGGGTGCTGTGTGGAGCACGCACTGCCCGGGTCCAGCCGCATCCTTCCCGCTGCCCGGATTACCGCGAGGGGATGCTCGAAGCCCCGGGGCGCTTCGGGAGGGCGGTTGTGGCGCTCGGTTTACCGGCGTCTTGCCCGTCTCCTCTCCATCGATCGGTCCCCGCGCTGCCGGCACCTGCTGCCGCTTAAAGATCCCAGTGCTTGAAAATCAGCTTCCTAAAGCCATTCCCGATGGCCTTCGATGGGAAAGAATGCCATATGGCTGAATTCATTATGGGGGATAAGAAATATGTCAGTGTGGGCGGAGGGGAACCTGTTAATACGTTCAAATTTAAGAGTAGGTAAGACACTATTCCCCGCCCCCATGAAAAAAGAAAGTGAAATATAGTAATTGTTTCAAATGCAAGTTTGAGCTGTTGTTAAATTCTACTGATAGCTGGATAATTTCTCGCATTTTTTATATTGCAAGCAAAACCATTTAGGAACCTTGGGAGGTTCACTTTCTCCTCAGACCAGTCCCCAAGTCCCCCACTCCCGCCACCTTTTAAGCCTTAATTGTATCTGGGCAAGTAACGGGGATTGTGAAATTTGCATGGAAATAAGACCTTCAGGTCCTGCACTTGAATTCTTTATTATCTGTTAAGTAGCTGCCTGTGCGGGTGAAGTAGGGCTGGTGACTTTTGGGGCCTGGGATTCCATTTTGAGTTGTGTTCACAACGAGCATTTGGTGTAAACAAGGAAAAAGAATGGGCTGTTCACTGTGGTGAAATTCGGAAAGCCAAATAGGAGTTAAGCACATGCTTATAGAATATTTCATAATCTCAATGAGATTCAATATTCAGTTGCCTTGAAAGAGATGAAAGTTTGTATTCTTGGAACTCTAATCGTTTTGTCCTTAATTTAGCATCTTGGGATATTTTAAAGAGCGTTTAAATGTTTTGGCACATTCAAGTTTTCTCTCCCCATTCTAGCTTTTTTCACACTAGCCATTAGTTTTGCATAGGTTCGATGTCAGATTTTTCAGTCCACTAGTTATCATTGTGGACTATCCAAATTCAAATGTAGAGATATTCTAATATTGAACAGTTAGTCCAGTGCATACAGTTTAGAAAGTTGAAATATTTTGACTACTTCGTGTTTTTCTTCCCAAATGTTAATTGTTTGAGATTTTTTTAGCTTAAAAAATTTTAAGTGATAAATGAACCCGCATTTAGTATACTATACAATGGTACACCTTTTGGAATATTTAAAATGTAAAATATGTTGAAGATTTAGGTTAGATATTTGAAATAAATTTTCTACCCAGTTGTCTTTCTCCCTTTTCTACAGATTTATCTTTTCTGTACTGCAAAAAAAGAAAGTGTCATATACACTCTACCAAACTTCTCCTCTACACACACTTGAATCTTACTATTACAGCGTTTTGGTTGTGCATAGAGAATTTTTCTGCTCATTGGGTTGAGGGCAGAGTCTGTGTTTTATATGTGTATCTTTAGTAGCCGACTAACTGCTTAACGTGGAGGAAAAACCCCTGTGTAAATTTGCTGAATTGGGGTTTTGAATGGTAGAGGATACAGAAATTTGGCTTCTTGGTAGCCAAAAAAACAAAAAAACAAAAAAACAAAACACGTGCTTCGAAGTCTCTGTCCTTCCTGCAGTGTTAGGCAGAACAAACGTGGGTGCCAGATTCTAATGGAGTTGTCTGGTCCAGGGAGATTAGCGAGAGGCTGGGGCAGGGGCTCGGGAGTCTAATCAAGATAGGCAATAAATCGTGTGCCCGAATAATTCTCTGAATTCAGTAACGGGGGACAGTTTTGCTATTAGGCCCAGCCTAAATAGGTGACAAATAACGAAATACAGAAGGATTCTACAAATAATGGCCTTATGGCTAAAAGATCATTGTAAAAGTTGTAACTGATATTCACAGCAATTTTAGACACCATAAAAAAGTTTATTAGGAAGAATTCATTTTTGACGGAGTTTTACACGTCATAGCAAAAAGGTAATTTGTAGTCTAATGATATACTTGCTAGGTCAGCTCATAGATGTGCTAGAATGACATAGTCTAGGCATTTTACGCACAGAGTATTTGAATTCAATTTTTCAGACCCATGGTAGTATACTCAGTATTACTCTGAATGTTTGTCTCATTGTTACAAAGTTAGCTACAGTAGACTGACCTGTAAATATGTTGATATGACACGATAAATGTTTTGGAACAAAATTACTTGTTAAGTAGGGATGGGGGTGAGAAATTCAGATAACCTGGAGACAGAAACTGCTTTCAGTAGCTTTATCTTACAACGTGTTCAACTAGATTCAATCTTTGCTTCAGGAGAGGTATGTTAGAGACGTGAGGAAGGCCCAAGGGAAAAGGGTGTCCTTTATTGTTTAATGAGGAGTTTCAAGGGAGATCAGGGTAATTATAGATTCTAGATCTCTAAAGGAAGAAAGAATAACCAGGGCCTTTCTAGGGATAAAGGAAAGGAAATACATCATGATTGACATGGAGAGGTGCCAAAGCACACAATGGACATAATAGCATACCTAAGAGGGAGTAGGGAGGGTTTGAGAGCCCATTGTGTTCATTCGCTCAGTAATTTGTTCATTCAAAAATATTGAACCCCTTTCTGTGTACCAAGCACTGTGCTTGACCCTTGGCGTTTTACAAACTTTTCTTAAGAGGACAGAATACTATGGTGGTTCCGTGAAGTAAATGGAAAATGGAAAACTGCTTATACGAGTGGGTAAGATTTACCCTAATTACTACAAACTATAGATAAAGTTGTTTTCATTCTTATCCAAATGCATTGTGGTGGTTAGTAATTCCTAAGACCTACTTCCTACCGAAATTACCATTTCCTTCTATCTTTTATTATGGAAAATAACAAATCATACAACTTTTAATAGCCTGTAGAGGATCTGTTTAGTTTGTTACTGTTTAAAGAAAAATGTTTTGTTACAAAAATTATCTTCATTAAAATAGTCAACATATTCTCCCTCTGGGAGATTTCAATTTTTTTTTTTTTTTTAAATGAGATGGTTACTGTGACACTTTTATTTTTAAATGTATTCTATTTTATGCCCAGTGATACTTACATTTCTTCTTTAATAGAGTTAGAATGTATATGTGTTTGTGTAAAATATGAATGCCTGTTTCTTATGAAAATAGTTTATATCCCAATTATGAAGTTTTAAAAATTAAACATTCATAGTAAGATTTGTTAAAAACATCTTTTTTTTTTTTTTTTTTTTGGAGACAGTCTCACTCTGTCGCCCAGGCTGGAGCAGTGGCGCAGCCATTCTCTTGCCTCAGCCTCCCAAGTAGCTGGGACTACAGGCGCCCGCCACCACGCCCCACTAATTTTTTCTATTTTTAGTAGAGGCGGGGTTTCACCGTGTTAGCCAGGATTGTCTCGATCTGCTTACCTTGTGATCCACCCGCCTCAGCCTCCCAGAGTGCTGGGATTACAGGCCTGAGCCACCGTGCCTGGCCAAAAACATCTTAACAAAAGGTGTTTGGGAAGTGGTTAGTCATATATGAGAGTAGAAAAGTATTTATTGTGGCCGGGCGTGGTGGCTCACGCCTGTAATCCCAGCACTTTGGGAGGCCGAGGTGGGTGGATCACGAGGTCAGGAGATCGAGACTATCCTAGCTAGCACAGTGAAATCCAGTCTCTGCTAAAAATACAAAAAACTTAGCTGGGCGTGGTGGCGGGCGCCTGTAGTCCCAGCTACTCAGGAGGCTGGGGCAGGAGAATGGCGTGAACCCGGGAGGCGGAGCTTGCAGTGAGCCGGAGATCGCACCACTGCCCTCCAGCCTGGGAGACGGAAAAAAAAAAAAAAAGTATTTACTGTTCCAAAGTTTAAAGGCTTTTATGTGCCATGTTAAGAAGTTTAGATTTAACTTGTGGTCTTTCAAGACTTTAAACAATCTTAATATTTATAAAATCGTGGCTATTTTAGAAATACCTTAATTTTTATAAAATTGTGGTTATAAGACACTAAGACATATAAAATGTAAATATCGTATGATGATTATTTGACTAAGTATGAGCTATGGCGGGAGGAAGCTTCTTAATAGTGAATGAAAATGTTATCTCAGTGTGTATTCAGATTTTGACATATAGATTATTTTTTTCTTTGTTTTTCCACACTATACAGATGTATAGAATAATTCTTTTTAGGAATGTATTTCAGCCATTTCCCTCATTCTGTCACTTTATTAAATAGTAATTTAATTTGGCTTTTTTTGTGTGTGTTTATTCTTCATGGTAATTTCCTGACTTTCATTAAAATATTTTTTAAAGAAGGGATCCGAAAATTGAGCTATTAATTACACCAATTAGATCTATATTACATTATTCATACCATTGACCTTTGGTACCTGATATACTCTTGTAAGAACCTCCAGGGCTTACAGCTGTATAGTCCCTTTCCATGCTTTCTTTCCAAGTATCTTCATAGACTGAGGTCGAAAGGGAGTGGCCGGCTGAAAAGTTTATTATGTCAAAGATAACTAAAATTTACAGTGGAATGTCATTTGTTTTTGTTTTGTTTTGGTTTTTGTTTTTTTTGTTTGTTTGTTTTTGAGACGGGGTCTCCCTCTGTCTCCCTGGCTGGAGTGCAGTGGCGCAATCTCGGCTCACTGCAAGATCCACCTCCTGGGTTCACGCCATTCTCCTGCCTCAGCCTCCCTAGTAGCTGGGACTACAGGCACTCGCCACCACACCTGGCTAATTTTTTTTGTATTTTTAGTAGAGACAGGGTTTCATCGTGTTAGCCAGGATGGTCTGGATCTCCTGACCTTGTGATCCGCCCGCCTCAGCCTCCCAAAGTGCTGGGATTACAGGCATGAGCCACTGCGCCTGGCCCGGAATGTTCGTTTTTGTGGTGAAAAAAATTTAGCTACCCCTCTGATTTTTCAGTAATTCTTTCAGTAGCTTTCAAGTAGCTGGGGACTATAGTCACGCACTGCCACGTGTGGATTCTTTAAATTATTTGAATAGAGATGAGATCTCACTATATTACTGCAAAAACATCTCTCTTGTCTCTTTCTTCTTTTTTTGTAGAGACAGGGTCTTGCTATGTTGCGCAGTTTGGGACTTACTATTTTCTTTTCTTTTTTTTTTTGAGATGGAGCCTTACTCTGTCACCCAGGCTGGACTCCTGCAGTGGCGCAATCTCGGATCACTGCAACCACCGCCACCTCCCGGGTTCAAGTGATTCTCCTGACTCAGCCTTCTAAGTAACTGGGACTACAGTTGCGTGCCATCACACCCGGCTAATTTTTGTATTTTTAGTAGAGACAGGATTTCACCATGTTGGTCAGGCTGGTCTCGAACTCCTGACCTCAAGTGATCCACCTGCCTCAGCCTCTCAAAGTGCTGGAATTACAGCCATGAGCCACAGTGCCAGGCAGGACTTTACTATTTTCTTTTTCTTTTTTTTTTTTGAGATGGAGTCTCGCTCTGTTGCCCAGGCTGGAGTGCAGTGGCCCAATCTTGGCTCACTGCAAGCTCTGCCTCCCGGGTTCACACCATTCTCCTGCCTCTGCCTCCCGAGTAGCTAGGACTACAGGCACCTGCCACCACACCCGGCTAATTTTTTATATTTTTTAGTAAAGACGGGGTTTCACCGTGTTAGCCAGGATGGTCTCAATCTCCTGACCTCGTGATTCACCCTCCTCGGCCTCCCAAAGTGCTGGGATTACAGGCGTGAGCCACCATGCCTAGCCGATGACTTACTATTTTCAACCTGTTTTTTTTGTTTGTTTTTTTGAGATGGAATCTTGCTCTGCCACCCAGGCTGGAGTGCAGTGGCTCACTGCAACCTCCGCCTCCAGGGTTCAAGCGATTCTCCTGCTTCAGCCTCCCGAGTAGCTGGGATTATGGGTGCCCACCACCACAACTGGCTAATTTTTGTATTTTTAGTAGAGACAGGGTTTTCACCATGTTGGCCAGGATGGTCTCAAACTCCTCAGGTGATCTGCCCACCTTGGCTTCCCAAAGTGCTGGGATTACAGGCGTGAGCCACCGTGCCTGGCCTCTTTTCAACCTCTGATTCAAATATTATAAAGAGGATGACCTGCAGTTAATACTAGATGGTTGCTCCAAGAATATGGTAGCCTGAAAAAATATAGCTATACATCTATACAATCTTAATAAAGCCATGAGAGAATTTTTAGGTTAAAAGACGATGTTTGAGGCTGCGCACGGTGGCTCACGCCTATAATCCCAGCACTTTGGGAGGCTGAGGCGGGTGGATCACGAGGTCAGGAGATCGAGACCATCCTGGCTAACATGGTGAAACCCCGTCTCTACTAAAAAATACAAAAAATTAGCTGGGCGTGGTGGCGGGCGCCTGTAGTCCCAGCTACTCGGGAGGCTGAGGCAGGAGAATGGCGTGAACCCGGGAGGCAGAGCTTGTAGTGAGCCGAGATCGCGCCACTGCACTCCAGCCTGGGCAACAGAGCAAGACTCCGTCTCAAAAAAAAAAAAAAAAAAAGATGATGTTTGGGATATAGTCTTTTCCTGACCATAAGGAGCCTACCCAATAGGTGGCAGAGTAACACAAGGATTCACATTTGGCAAGTGACATAATGTTAGCAGAATCCAAAGTCCTTTAAAAGAAATGAGAGAAGCCTGGGCGTAGTGTCTCATGCCTATAACCCCAGCATTTTGGAAGGCCAAGGCAGGAGGATCACTTGAGACCAGAAGTTTGAGACCAGCCTGGGCAAAATGATGAAACCCCATCTCTACAAAAAATATATACCTTAGCCAGGCATTGTGGCACACGCCTGTAATCCCAGCTACTTGGGAGGCTGAAGTGGGAGGATCACTTGAGCCTGCAACAACAGGTTGCAGTGAGCTGAGATCATACCACTGCAGTCCAGCCTGGGCAACAGAGTGAGACCCTGTCTCAAAAAAAAAAAAATAGAGAAGATATTGTTTTTGACCAAAGAGTTTATGAAGGAGTTGGACCTTGGAGGATGAAGATGAGTTCTGAAAATTAGCTGGGGCTGACTTTTTGGCTGGCGTGCATGACAGGTAGAAGGGTAATAAGGTGAAGATAGGTTAGAATCTGATTGTGGAGGATTTTGAAAGGAAGACTGACAGATGTATATGTTTTTACTGAAATATTTGTCAAACTGTTATGAAATTAGTTGCAATCAGTAGTTTTTAAATGAAGCAGGAAATAGCATACTTTTTTTAATTTTGTTTTGTTTTTGAAACAAGGTCTTGCTTTTTTGCTGAGGCTGCAGTGCAGTGGCACCATCATGGCTTGCTGCAGCCTCGACCTCTCCAGGCTCAAGTGATCCTCCCACCTCAGCCTCCAGAGTAGCTGGGCTTATAGGCACACGCAACTGTGCCAGGTAATTTTTGCATATTTTATTTCACTATGTTGTCCAGGCTGGTCTCGAACTCCTGAGCTCAAGCAATCTGCCCACCTCGTCCTCCCAAATTGCTAGGACTTTATATTCTGTGCATGAGCAACTGTGCCCAGCCATAATTCATTATTCTTTTTTTTTTTTTTTGAAACAGAGTTTCACTCTGTTGCCCAGGCTGGAGTGCAGTGGCGTGGTCTTGTGATCTCAGCTCACTGCAACTTCTGCCTCCCAGGTTCAAGCAATTCTGCCTCAGCCTCCTGAGCAGCAGCTGGGATTATAGGTGCCTACCACCATGTTCGGTTAATTTTTTGTATTTTTAGTAGAGGCGGGTTTCACCATGTTGGCCAGGCTGGTCTT